CACATTGCAGAAACAGCAAACATTTTATCATGACAGAAGTGTCTATACGTTTTTCTCAAACAACATGCACTACAGCTGCTAGAACCTCTTTTACTTACTGACTTGCAATTTTTGGGCCAGAGATTTAAGTAATTTGCCCAAAAATGAAAAGGAACTAGACAGCAGATCTGAAAACACAATCTGGATAGCCTTTGGATCCAACCATACACTGTTTCTTCCTACTTTACGTGCACCCTATCTATGAGGTTGCAAATGCACGCTTTAGGAAATTTGTGCTTTTCAACATCTTCTGGCAGGAGGCCGTCCAATAACGCTAATATTACTGAGGGCTGCTAATAAGTAATGCTAACTTAGAAGACAAGTAAGCAAGCAATTAATCTACATTTGAACATAAAAGAATATCATTCTACTGAGCATTTTAAAATACTGTTTGAAAGCACCAAGTCAGCCAGGCCTAGTAGTAAGCAGCAATTCCATTGTGAGTCATGAAAGCATTAAGTCCCCTGCTTCCTTCTTAGATGCCAGAGTTCTGTGGTAACAGAAGTATTGAAATCTGAATGTCAAATCTCATTCAGAAACAGAGAGGTTTGACTGTTTGCCAAAAACAGGGAAGGTACTTGGCTCATTTGATAAAAAATTTGTCTTCACAAAAAAAAAAAAAAGATTTTTCAAAGGTAACCCATGTCACTTTAACTTGCATATGCAACATTTAAGAAACTGGACATATAGTAATGGGCTAGTTAATTTGTTGCTGCAGACTTGATGTCTAGACAAGATAAGACATTTCAAGAATCCCTGCTCCTCATGCTCATAAGGAACAACAAAGAGATAGCCTTTTGTGTAACACTGCCAGCAAATTGCTCCAATTGTGAATTTAACACCAGGGACATATTTGTCATCACTTCCGAAAAAACACACTTCAGCACATTGCATATTAAACGCATAAGCTGATACTTAACTATATAAAAACAGAAACTAAACAAATTAAAAAATACATTAATGTATATTGCATATCAGATGCAAAAGTATAAGAAGTGTGCAAAATTGTTACATCAGCGACTTGTGAACACTCATTGATCTTGACTTGCCAATGCCAAATTCTCTGCTATGCTATTTTTGAGTAACCAGACCAGTCCCAACCATGCTGACAACGTACACCAAATTTCAAAATTATCACTGTGGAGGAAAGAATGACATGTTCAAAAGCATAAGGAAGTGCTTACCTCTCAAGCAAACAGAGCTAATTAGCTCATACTTTTGTTTTCAAAAGCCCTCCAAAGTTTCTGATTGCTTACAAATAGAATATCAAAAACCACATCATTTATCAAGACTCTGGACATATTAAACATTCACTGGACATATTAAAACATGAGACACACCAACACTGCAGAATTCTCATGTTGTACAAAGAATCACAAAGATGGAACAGAATACAGACCAGGATGGAAGAGATCAGTTTTCCCAGTGCTTGCTGTGCAGAAGTGCCAGGAAAGGTCCAGTTGCCAGCTGCCAAGTGGCAGAGGCAGCAGGTCTCAGGGCAGCTAGCTGGGGGACCTCAACCCTCTCCTGAGGGCAGTTGAGCCCACTCCAAGGGGAGCAGGTCCTGATAAGCAAGTGAGACCACCCAAAAACAGGGAACCAGAGCAAGGAGATGGGACTTTGCAGCTCAAGGATGGGGAACTGCCAAGATGAGCTGGGAGCAGAAGCCTTTGGTGGGGAAAAGAAGCACTTTGTGCAGAACAGTATACAGGACTGCAATGGCAGCTGAGCTGAGAGAGAGAGAACACTGAAACAATGGAAAAGGCTGTCTGAAGAAACAGCAGTCTCCCTCACTGGAAATATTCAGGACTTTACTGAGCTCTCTATGGCCCATTCCAAGGCCCTTCCAAGAGGATATCAGTCCAGGTGAGGTCCCCTGTGATTCGGTCACTAAACTGGTCATTTCAAAGAAGAGATAAGAGAGTTCCAGGATCTCCGGTCCCAGTTCAGCCATGTTCTCAGGTGCCCATGCATCTTCAACCACACCTTTTCTTCTCAATTGATTAACCAGTACCACAAGCACAGCATAAACTGTATTGAGAAGTTCATCCAAATAACTTTTAGTAAGCAATTCACCACAGGACTGAAAATTCAGTTTCCATTCAACTCTTTGCTCCCTCTCACCTTCCTTGTTAGTATTGGAGAGCTCAAGTCACTCAGAACGCACCTAAGTTTACTTTGAGATTCTGATAATTCAAAGCCAGTGCAGCACTGTACCAAGTAAGGGTGGAAGACTCACAGCACATCAAACCATGAAAACATCGTAACAAGTTTCCTGTATTCTTTTTTTCTACCTCCAACCTAATTCACAGTACTCCATTTTCTAACAAACAAGAATTTTGTTCAGTTTAATAAAATGCACCAAAGATGCTTCCAGCATCATAAAATCTGATTTTAATTCTGTGGAAGCTGACACCTTCAATATTCAAATTGACAACGGGAGAAACCGGTTCTGTGAAATCAAAATATCTAAGTTATTCCTCAGGCTTTTCTGAATGAAGCTTCTAAAAGCATTGTTTTATAAAACGTAATCTAGATTCCTCTAGAGATAAGTATCAACACTATCAAACATAATAACATTAGATCACATTGAAAACAAGATTTGTTTTTATGCCCAAATTTTCATCAGCCTTGACTATAAGCCTATCTATAGAACCTAGGGGCACACACATCTTCATGGGAAATAAACCAATCGTGGTTTCAGTACCAGCAGCTAAACTTTCCCAATTGCTGTTTTCTGAAAAACCTGGTCCTACTCTACTTTTTTTCCCCCACATTTTTCATTTTCCCATAGTCATAAGTTGATGTATAAGGTGTGAACACACAAACTGGTCATTGACACAAAGACAAATTGCGTGATGATCCTAGTACTTATAGCATGCTCCATCCTAGCCAGACTCACAAAACATGAAGCCATGTTCATACAAAATAATATAAAAAAAAATAGAAGAAAAAGAAGTAAATGAAAGAAAAAATACACAGAGTAGAAATTTGCTTTTCATTTATCAAGAAAAAGGAACAATTTTACAGGATAGGAAGTGGACTCTCATGCAAAAGAGCAAAAGCTACTACAACTCAGACAGAAGAAACCTGGAAAAAGCTTTATAAGATTACCCCCAGACTACAAGACTTCTTGAAGAGTATTATGAAATAATCATGAATGAGTGATTTGTATTTCCTAGGTATCACAGGAACGCATGAAAAGATTGTAAATGCAAGTTTGAAGAAAGTCATCTCTCCTGCCTGAATTAAAAATTTTAAATGCTTCTTCCAGATTTGGGCAGAGTTGTACTGAAAAGTTAGAAAATCTCCTAACTCTACATTAACAGCAACGTAACTACGGAAAAAAATACTTCAGATGTTTACGACAAATGAAACTGAGCAGATTACCAGAGATATTTTCCCCACTGTAAAGTGATATGATAGCAAAGACTAGTAAATAAATAAATAAATAAATAAATTTCTACTGAGCTTGCTCACAGACTGGACATTACAAGAGAAGCAACACAAATCTTGTTTTGTATTCAATCTATCCCCAAGCACTCTACATAAAAGAGAAAGAATTTCTGAAAAGTTCTGAAAAGTATTCCCTTCTCTCATCTTGATATCAACACTGCAGTCTAAGAAAAATGTAAAGGCTCTTAATCCTTGAAAACAATTACGCAGGAACTGGTATTCAAAGCTGATTAAAACAACAACAGCCTGCTTCCAGTGTTCAGTCCCCAAACTGTACATATTCTAATTAAGAAAATTTACAGAAATCATTTTCGATAATTTCACAGAAGCACAGAATGGCCAGGGCTAAAGGGATCTCAAGGATCATGAATCTCCAACCCCCCTGCCACATGCAGGGCCAACAACCTCCACGTTTAACACTAGACCAGGCTGCCCAGGGCCCCATCCAATCTGGCCTTGAACACCTCCAGGAATGGATGGGGCCTCCAAAACCTCTCTGGGCAGCCTGTTCCAGCACCTCACCACTCTCATGGTAAAGAACTTACTTGTTCTCATGTAAAGATATATTTTTAACTGCATTTAGAATTACCTGTTTATATTGGATTTTGGAACAGTTACTCCAAGCAGCAATCATTTTGTTGTAAAAGTACTTGATTTGGAAGGGACCATTAAAGGTCATCTACTCCAACTCCCCTGCAGTGAACAGGGACACCTACAGCTAGATCAGGGTGCTCAGGGTCTGGTCCAGCCTGATCTTGAATGTCTCCAGGGACAGGGTACCCACCAGACCCTTGGGCAATCTGTTCCAGCTCGTCCATATCATAAGAAACTTTTTTCCTATAACCAATCTCAATTTCCCCTATTTTTGGATGAAAACATTTCCCTTTGTCACCACAGACCCTAGCTAAATAGTCTGCCTCTTTAGACACTGAAAGGCCTCCATCAGGTCTCCCCAGAGCCTTCTCTTCTCCAAGCTGAACAGCCCCAGCTCTCTCAGCCTGTCCTCATAGGAGAGGTGCTCCACTACTTGAATCATTTTGTGGCCCTCCTCTGGACATGCACAAACGGGCCCATACCTCTCTTGCACTGAGGACTCCATATCTGGACACAGTACTCCAGGTGAGGTCTCACCAGTGCAGAGGAACAGAATCATCTCCCCCACCCTGCTGACAATGCTTCTTTTGATGCAGCCCAGGATATGGCTGGCTTTCTGGGCTGTGAGGGTACACTCATGGCTTGCGTTCAGCTTGCCATGCATAATAACAGTTGTTACATTTAAGATGAAGAAGACTACAGCTAATTCCCACGTGCAGATAAATGCCATACTTCTTCAGTAATATATCTGAATGCATCTCTGTAGACAGATGCCATCACTGTATTGCCTCAACAAATTAGATTACATTAATATTATGCTCCAAGGAGGAGAAGAGAAAATAAAGATATTTATAGCAGATCAAGCCATTACACAAGCATTGTATCAGTGCCAAAAAGCCAACAGGACTCACCTGCTCTATCTCCTTGGTTTTAGTTGCAATTGCTTTTGAGCGGCAAAGATGCTGGTTATCTTCATATAATTCTGTACTGTCAGTTACATTTGCTTCTGTTTCCTCTGTTTGTTCGACATATAATGGAGCTGAAGAACCAGCCTTAAAAGAAAAGGAATTTTCAAGTTTTAAAATAAAAATAAAAATGTCAAAATGTGACAGCAAAAATAAAACCCAAATATATTCGATTAAATATGACTTTGCTTATCAAGACCATTAATGAAGCATTATTGCTACAATCTAACAGTTACAGAAATACTGATTTTGTATATGCAGAAAACATGACATAAAAAAAAAAAAGTGACTCAGTCTTAATTGTAAGGACAACAATGACAGATAACCCTTATCAGCCCTTCTTCTGAGAAGAAACTTCTACAGTTGTTATTTTTAACACCAACCAGCGAGAAATCCACAATGAAAGTGGGATTAGATTTCTGGGGAAAGATAAAGATAAAAAAAATCAAAGGTAAACAGTCAATGACAAAATCAGAAAGAACTCTTGCAGCATTCAATGCTATGGGTTAAATATTAAAGGAAAAGAGACACCTACTGTACAGCGAGAGAAAACATGCACTTAGAGGATTCCTGAAAATATCAGAAATCTTACAGAAGTACCAAAATTGTACAGGCTTCCTTCTAATATGGGAATTAAGACAGTATTCCCGCCCCAAAGAATATAGACTCCTACTTCAAGGACATCAAGCAGTCTAAATAGAAGATGGAGAAAGAAAAAAATTACTACAGTATATTTAATTGCATTATTACACAACAGATTTGTACAATATATAATAGTTTGGGAGTTGCTTTTTTGTTTTTTTGTAATAAGACTTGAGAATTTGAAGTAGATGCATAAAAATGTTTTTAACTGCTCAAAAATAAAGAACTGGAGAAACTTAAGACTTCATTAATGTGTAAGAGAAAAGCATTAGGAATAAAAAAAAAAAAGTTGAAGCAGTCCTATAAATATCTGCTTAAAACTCAGAATCAATATAAACCATTAACACCACACGTGGAATCTCTTTATTGCAGTAGATCAAGAAATGCCTGAGAAAGAGTAGAAGATGCTAAGAACTTCAGCATAACACAAAGTCCGACCATTACGTAAGATAAACAAACTGGAAAAAAAATATCAAACTGCAGCAACTCAGAGACGACAGCCTATCAGTCAAGGCCAGAACTGTCTTTTCTTCTAGGATTCATAATGAAATATCTCACCGCCTTCATTAGCGAGCCCACAGAACACTTTTTCAGTCAGTAAATCATCTCAGACTCTGTCACAACAGCCGCTGATTCATTATGAACCCTCCTCCCACTGCAATGTCCTCTAAGGCAGAATCAATTTAACCACATGGTGCATTCTGTTCTTCCCTTCACTGCATTGCCTTCCCCTCATCAAGAAAAGGAGTGACGTTTCTCTTCAGTGTTGCTCTCCTGAATCTCTCTACAAATAGAACTGTCCATGCATGTATCTCCATATGGCATACATGCTAGGATCCTTTTTCTTCACTCCACCATACATGCTTTTTTATTATTATTATTTTAATTTTGATTTTTTTCTGTTTTTAGTTTCTTTTTCCTGGAAGGAAATGAACAGCTCTTTTATCCAATCCTCCCATCCAGTACCAAGAAGTTGTTAATACAGTCAGCCATTAGACCAATGGACATGATTTGAGAGCTCAGATCAATGTGGATCCAGCCCAAATCTAGCTCTTAGTTTCCCCAAGGGTGAAGTACAAAAAGGAAATTCAGTGCTTCCCAAGACATTTATTTTCCATCTTACCATTTACAAAAAGCTTGCCCATTAACTGTAAAGTTGATGAGAAAGAATGCTGAAATGATTGCAGGATTAAACCAGGCTACTTTTTGAAAGACATTACATGACTTTTATTTGTGTCAAATCAAAGGAGGTAGACGCTAGTTAAAACACATCATGCTTAATAGAGCCTTGCTGCCTTCTGTTAGTCAGAAATTACTGTCTATCAATCTCATTAGCCTTAGTTAGTTGACTATGAAAATCCTGCCCGTCTCATAGTATGTGACTAAAAGACAAAAGACATAACAATGTATGTCAATTTGTTAGGGGCAGAAAGACAGGAAAGCCTCAGAAGTGATGAAGTTGTCTCAGGTGACAAGGGCTCTCTCAGAAGCCTCATTCCTTTCCCAATAGGCGCTGAGCTGAGCGCTCAGGTGGTCTCAGAATTGACATCAGCAATCCCTACTAACTTTCTACAGTCAATCAAGTAGATCCCGTATCTGCAATGACACAGGATCCACATCTGACTTACTCAAGAGCAAGAGGTTTGTAAGCTCCTTGCCAATCTTGCCACATGATCACTTGCCAAATTAACTGCAGTAACAAAATAAACAACTTAGCTTTCTCAAGAGGTTATTAACAAGCACTTGCCTGCTGTGCCCGTAGAGCAGTAAAAAATGACCACTGAAAAGTGCTATGATCACACTTCAATATAGCGAGAGGCAAAAGACAAGGAGGAGAAGAGCAGATAGCTATAAATTGACAATTAATTAATGTTGAGTATGAATGAAACAAAAGATCTGGGAAAACAATTAAATCAGTCAGACAATCAACAACAATAGCAAGGATAAAAGCCTGATATTTAAGATGAAGAAGGACTGCTCCTAAAAGGGAATAAAAGATGTGGCAGAGTGCCATGGCATGGATCTAAATTCATTTAAACAGAGTTTCTCTTCTGATCTGAGGTTTTACATAAACACATTTTAATTCAGTAGAGTCTCTAGCTAATTTTAGGGACCTCAGTAGGCAAAGCAACTTACACCAGTGCAAGAAAGTTCCTTGGAGAAACTCGAGCAGAGATGGAGCCTTATTTTGTCAACTGTAGTTCAACATAAATTCAAGGCATACTAACAAAACCCACTATTTATATGTTTTGTTTATTTGTTTGTTTTTAACAACAAAAAAACCCACAAACACATGGCTTTAGTCCCTCTCTCTCACTTTCAACAAACATTTAATAGCACAGGCAGACAAATCCAGAGGTGATTTATAAGATGCATCTTTCAGGAGTGCCAAAAACCAGGAGGTTACTGTTGTAACACTTCAAAATAAATCAGTTAATACTTCTGTCTTACCTCATACTCTGTTCTTTCCGATAAATTGTTTTCATCCTTTTCTAACTTCTCAGCTGCCCATTTGCTTGCAGCTTCTGCGAGTTCCTTTTCTGATAGTCTGTTGCTCTTCTCCATAGCCTGAAAAAAAAAAAAAACACAAAAAACAAACATTACAGTGAAGGCACCAACATGAAATATACTTCCACGTGTAAAGTCATCTTCTAAATTAAAATAAATAGTTATTCAGCTCCCCAAAGCATTTTGAAATGGCAAATAAGGAAGCTGAAGATGTTGTTTGTTGACTTGTTAAAAGAAAAACAGATAAATAAAAACCAGTGAATTTCAGGAAAATGTTAAAAAGCACCATACTTTCAGAATCAACATTGTTGTTCTGTCATTTTTTTCAAATTCAGAGGACAAATAACCAAAAAATTATTTGACACCAGTTGAGTTCAAAGACAGATGGATCAAAAGGATATTACAGAAAAATCAGACAAGTATGGATTGATTTAGTAACACAATATAGTTTTTAGCCATGAAAGGTTGTAACAAATTAAAACTGAACTATTCAACTCTGCATATGGAACAAAAACTAGGCTAATTAGGAACAGAAAGTTCATGCATTTCAACTGTTCTAAGTTAGCTGAATTAAAATTAATAATTTCATACTTGGCTGAAATGTTGATCACTAGTAACAGAATCATTCACAGGGAAATGGTCTTATAAACAGTATTCACAATATGATTTCTTTGAACATTATTTGTATATATATGTATTAGAGCAGACAAGATAATGGCAAATGTCCATGTATTAAAAGCAGTTTAGAAATAACTAATTTTAAAGATTGTTTTAAAGATTGTTACCTCTATGTGAGAATTTTGTGCCTCTGCCTCTGTAGAATCTATGCATCTATCCAAGAATTTATACAACTCTAGCATTAAGACCTGCCACAGATGGATATCAAAGAAAGATACAACTGCCCGAAAAACATTGCCACAAGTTCCCAGTTGTTCCACTGGGATGGAAAATCAACAACAAAACAACCCTCCCACACACACTTTATCATTTTTTCCAAATTACATAAATGGTCAGAGGAAGCACATACTCAGTAGTTCCTTAAAGGACTGTGTGTCATAAAGACACAACATTCAACTAAATCCAGAAAATAAGTGGGATACAATGTTTATCTGAGCAGGAATCCCTCCTTATTATTCTGTAATTCAAAACAATAGAAATCAGCAAAGTCCAGAGGTTGCAGAGATTAAAAGAAGTCCAAAGCACAGATAAGGTACTAAGAGGGTTCCTAAGAGAAACGGGCAATGTAATTCAAAGAATAATTAGCCCAGCTACCTTTCCAAACTACACAATTACTCATACACTTCCCCCACTACTAACTATCAGCAGCCAATTTTTTTCTCCTCTGCTCTTATTCCCCAAGGCACACACAACTTTTACCCACAACCTAGCTTTCCTAGCTGCCAGAAAATCTTGTATCACAAATTTCTCCTAGTCCCCAAAAGTAGCTCTGGCCAATACAACCAAAAGGAAAGGACCAATATCTCTGTCACCAATTGTTATCTTTGCATGAAATGAAGATAAATAAAGTCTCATATGACTTACAATATTCCACAAGCCATAAGCATCAACTAATTACTCCAGTACTTAATGGAGTAGAGGGAAAAAAAAAAACAAACAAAAAACCACCTGTTCAATTTATTCTGACTAAATTATTCAGACTGCATGGCAATAAAATACATATTAAAAATTCTGAATGCATTTTATGTATTAAGTAATAGGTTTTCCACAGATACGCTACACTACAATGTAAGAGAAAATTAAAAGAACAGGGTCACGTTTTTAGAGAAAAACATGAAGAGAAGCAAGAAGTTAACTGCTTAGTGGAAAACCTTTTTTGTACTCTAAGCAAAGGTGTCTTCACTTTTTTTTTCTTGGGCATAACGTAAGAACAGCAAAAACCTGTCAGTTTTCTGCTATCTTTGCTGGGAAATCTTCCTTGTCTCACACATCTGCTCTTTGCTTTAATTAGATTGCACACAACCTCCAAGGCTTGTAGTCCAGACAGATATTAAACAAAAACACAAAAGATGTCATGCAGTAGTCAATTAAACAGGTGGTTAAGATCTGATAACACCAACCTGTATTAATTCACATGCATGAATATGCAAAAAAAAAGAAATCATAAACGAGATTAAAAAAATACCTTTTCAGATTTGCATGTAGTTACTGAGCTGAAAAGAGATATTGCTGTGGAAGCAATACAAGTATTTCATAGTTAAATTATTACTTAGAGCACTGAAAATTATCTCCTTTGATCTATAAAACAAAGCATATGACTGTGATTTCACAAGCCTGAATAGATTGCAAGACCCAGGCCCTAGTGATGTTTATCATGTTTTGCCACAACTTTTTTGGTTGTTATTTCCAGGTCAGTGAAGAGCTATAACTTAACTGGTTAGTGGAATGCAGCCATCACCCCTAAGAGGCTCCACTGATAGAAAACAGTAAATTATTGATATATCTGGTGCTTGAAAGAGACAAGCAATATAACGTCACTGAAGCAATTCTGTTTCTGCAGCTGATGTACACCCAATGAACGTTTGTGTTCTCTGGAAAAATTCCTTCAATCAAATGGAAATTTTTACTTTGAGTAGTTAATATCAAGTAGGTATAAGCCAAGCTCTGGCAAAAATAAAATCAATGCAGAACACATCAGGTCTGATAGGAGAGGAAAGCAATATGGTTAAATACCTATAGTTCAAGTTCACACTGCATCTATATACTGTAGCAAAAGATTTTGCAATATCTCATTGTTCTCTTTGTCCTATTAAGGACTTGATATTAAGCTGCAGCACGTTAAGTCTGCAAGCAAAATAAGCAAACTAATTACAAAGTTGCTTTTATAATCCAAATCAGTGCAACTTCTGCCTAGAAGCTTTTATCTTACTTTCCTTATTTACATCACCGAAAATACAGTACTTACCTCCCGCCCTTAAGGATAATGGTAATTAACTAGTGCCTAGCACAGCAATTCTAAAAGAGCTGTACATGGAATAAATACTTAGAATGACATAACATAACACAACCAAAGCTTGATTTTTTTTTTTTTTTTTACCCACTTAATTATTTCCTTCAGTCTCACTTTCTCACAAGAATACCTTTCTTTCTTTGTTGTTTTTTTTCCTTTTTTGTTTGTTGTTTGTTTGTTTCCCCCCAAGCATTCCACTATTTTTATTACAAAGACTTCCAGAACTAGGCTACTACTGCTTAGGGGAATGCTATTTTTTAAGAGAACATTACTCAGAATATATTGCAGTGTTTCTTTATTCTTCATTAAAGTAATTCTCAAAAAAAAGAAAAATTAAAAAAAAAGGGAAAATATTCCAGTAGAAGTGTTGATTTTAACCTCAAGTATAATTTTCAAGCAAGCAGTCTGTGGTGTGAAAATGCTTTTATTGCCACAAGACAGCCAGCACAACACTGAATGCTGATTGTTCATTAGTGTTTATTAGTTTATCTCTTTAATTAATTAGCAAGACTGTAGTTGGTGCTCAGACTACAAGTTTTTTTTTTTATGGGAAATTAAACCACATCATTTAGAACGTAAAAAGGAATTTACTAAGCTGCTTTGCAATGTGGCACTGCTCCCAGTGAAACACTATCATTCTTTTCATGTTCTCCAGCAGCCCTCTCCAAAGCCAAAGCTGCTCTTCACATGACCTTCCCCATTTGTCAGACACTTCAGCTCGCTTTTTCCAGATCCAGTCATAGATTAAGCATCACTCAAGGATGGGGTTCAGTTCAACTACAGGTGTGTCTATTCATCCATTGTCCCTAAAAACTGCTTACTTAACTTTATCATGGAATCACCAAGGTTGGAAAAGACCTACAAGATCGTCCAGTTCAACCATCCACTTATCACCAATATCTCCCCACTAAACCTAAACATCTTAGCACAACATCTAAACATTTCTTGAACTAATATCCTTGCCATTCCTTTTCTAGCACACTCTGGACTTCAGATAATAACAATTTAAAGTCTGTGCAAAATGCCCTACCTCAAACAGGACAGTGACTACAGAATAAAGGACTATTTGTATCATCATCAGATAAACAACATTAACAGCACCTTCCTGCTCAGTAAGGGAAAACCAGCTTCTGCTGGGTTGTAGAGCAATATAAGATACTCTGTCCTTAACAGCTGCATACAGTGTCTCCTTCCAGGTGATGCAAAACATACATATATTCAATAATGTGCAATCTGAAGCCACGGTGAGAAGTGCTTGAAAAGCAAAATTCACCTTTGATGTGGGTAGTGCTGTGGAGCCCGATGGTGATGCATCTCTTGATGTTTTCGACGACTGAACTGAAGTCCTCTCTTTACCTACAATTTTAAAAATATTAAGACTTGCAAAATTACAGTAAGCACATATCTTGCAAACATATGTATTGGCTTTAATATTTTGCAGGAAAACTGTAATGAAATTTGCTCAGCTCATGAAATCTACAGCCTCCACTATCTGATAAACCTTGGTAACATTCCTTTCTCTTTACAAAGAGAGATAGTTACTATACACGGCATATTTAGGAAAACTCCACTGCTCAGTATTTAACTGAAGAGCATGTCAATATGACTTGGTGAGATGATGTGGTTTTACTCTCTAATGTTCCTGTTATAAACTTAACATTAACAGGTGAAATTAAAAATTCCTTTATTTCTATTAGCCATCAATCCAACACTCCAAAAAACCAGACAGTATAGGAACTAGTTCAGCAGGTCGCAGTATGTTGGAAAGTATTGCAGGGGAAAAGTCTTACATTCCACAAACCACAGGTTAGATTCTCTTTGTATTATCAGGGATTTTCTTGTAAGCATTCAAATCAGCCAAATAACAATTCAAATTCACTGGCTAATCACAGTCCATGCACAGCCTTGCCAAAGACTGGCTCCTGGAGCCTGCAGCAGCAGAACCAGCTGCAGTGCACATTGCTAGCTCTCAATCTGTGGTCCATGAATTACATCTAAGCTATCTGCAAAAAGTAATTATGAAAAACACACTGGTTGTCAGTAAGCCTACATTTACCAAACTATTCACGTTCACTGGAAATTACTTGACTATTCACAAAAGGAAAATAAAGCAGACTTATCTGGGCTTCAATTAAGCTTGTATCAGCTCACTTAAGAAAGGGATGAATTAAAAACAAGTCTACCAAGCACTTATAGAAATCTGGATACAAATTATTTCAGGATAATTTTTTGGAAAACCAACATGGTTTTAAATTAATGAGACCAAGCTTAATGCAAAATCTCAATCCTAACAGCCACGCTATTTTTACTCAATGCTATAAAATAAGACTACTTAAGTGCTGTGTATTTTCAAATGCAACTACCTATAAAAACAGAAGGAAAATTCTATGCAAAGTGCATACTTTTCACAATAGGAAATATTTAGGAAAGGTCTGAGAAGCTGGTCTTTGCCACATTTTCATACCAAGAATGTAGTGTGGAGAGTTAACACAAAGCAAAGATCAAACAACTGTCTCTCAGAGACAAGTGAGTTACAAGTACAATGACGAAGACCTACTAATGCAAAAATCTTCACAGCTACTGATAGCTCTTTCTAAAACATTACTGAAAATAGCTGGAGAAATTACTTTGACAAAATAAACGTTTTAAACCTCACTTGATTCCTTGATTTTAAAACATTGCTAAATGGAAAACGCGTAAAAACAAAACAAGCAGCTATACAAGCAGATGAACTACAAATTACCTTTAATCATGAAACGTTAAATTATGAAAAGAACAATGAAAGCAAAAGCCATGAAAAAAAGCTCCTATAAATGCAACCCGTGTGACAAATCTAAAAAATGAAGATAAAATTAACATCTTCAATCTGCCACACTCCATAAAGCAGTGTCTCTCTGACATCACCAAGTAACACAGAAGTTTTGCTCCTTTAATACCTGTCCTTCAGCCTCATGACAAGCCACCACCTTTTAAAAAAAAAAATACACTAAGTATTTTAACTCTGCCTTCTACAAACCTCCTTAATCACAATGGAGTCCTTAAAGATTACCTGAGTTGAGTAGTGTGTGGGAACTGCTGAGTCACAGCCTCTGATTGATCACCTGAGGCGAGCCATGAGTCAGCCAGAGGAGCACAGCTGAAGGCAATTCACCTGTGCTGCTGGCAGGGGTGGAGCCAGGCTGCACCTCTCCTAGACCTATTGAAGAGCTGGCTAGCAGTGGGGAAGGATCTCTTCTGGAGATCTGCTGTGATGGAGTTTTGTAAGCGAGCCCAGGATACGGATAAGCTTTCTATCCTCTTTTTGTTATCATAATCTGCTTTGCCTACCTCTCTTGTTTATTTTGAAATTATAACATCTTAATGTTCATTGATTGTACAAGTAGATTTTAAGTTTGTGGTTGAACAGATTGAATTATCTGAGGGTGGCAGTAAATTATTCAAAATTAAGAAGGGAGAAACTGAATTTGAAGATCTTGGTAAGAGGCCCATCATTCTGAACATGTAACTATTCAGAACCCACAAATCCTAACTGTACAATTATCTAATGTAACTACAAAACTGAACGTGCTACTTGCGTTCTTGCATTTCCTTGGCACACCACGCTACACATCCCTGAATGGACTGGCCTGGCCAAGGAATACCATCCTACTCCCTACATGCTCACACAGCTTCACTATATGCCTTGCCATGCGCCCTTTCTGTCCCTTTGTTCTAAGCTTCCCTCTTTCCCTAGTTTTGGTTGCTAGAATCTTGCATTTGGCCCAGTTTTTGAAGAGCTGGATGGCATGGGATATTCTTCCTGCAAGGAAGACCTCAGGCCAAACTAATTCAGACAGCATGATTGTAAGCAGCATTACAAAATTTAAAAGGATACATAACGTGTTGGAAAAAAAAAACATTGAACTTCAGACTAAAACTCACTGCTGACAAGAACAACAGGCCCCATTTTATGTTCCTTTTAAATATGTAATACATGATTTTACCTAAGACAAATAATATTCAAACAGTATTCTCAAAGTTTTATTTAAGCCATTTATGCCTCAAAAATGGACCATTTTAATTCAGTCATCCATAGAACAGTTCAAAAGTACTATTCTGAGAGGAACAAGCAGTTTATTAATAAACAGTCCAGTGTAAAAGCATCTGGTCTCTTCAAACTGATTAAAAAAAAAATGGGAGAAAGGTGTTTAACCATGGAATTGAAAATAAATCTCCAAAGCCACAGACCTAAATATAACCATGTCTCCTGACTGGTGTCTATTCTAGTTTCTGAAGATGTCTGCTTCAAATTCGCCACTCTCACTACTGTTTGAGTAATTTTGCCAATATATTACAAATGTGATAGAAGTCAGCTCAAAATCTCATAGACATTCCAAAGCTTTATATTGTTTTCACAAACTTTTTTTTTCTGTTCCTACAGACTGTGATCTACACATCTACAACTCTCCTGCAAGTATAATTACCATATTCTTCCCTTCCTCTCCTCTATTCACAGGAATCTGTATTCACTGAGTACTGCTCCTCAATGTTTAAATACCTACATTTACCAGTTAGAAAGGCAATTTGTATTCTACTACTGACTAAAATAATTCCTCACTATTTAAACAGTGTAAACTGAACTCCACAAGAACATTTTTGGCAAATGGTGCTACATCAGTCTAGTGTGCCACATATTGATGAAATAAAAAATCCAATTAATTTTTAAAAATACTGCCAAAATGGACAGTGGGTTTGTACAGCCCCCTAGAAAACATCTGCAAAACGGAAACTCAACTGTGATTGATTTACATAAGCTAAACAAATAGCAGTAGTTGAGGTTGTAGCACACTAAAAAAAAGCATTTGCTTCTTTTTACAAATTATTTTAAAATATTTCAGGTTTTCATGTTTAAACAGATAAATCATTACATTATTCATGAAGCTTTCAAAAGCTGAGCTTTTAAAAATCAGGACATATACTGTTTATTCTCAACTGAGATTTGAGAGAATCTGGCATTGAGATGAAATTGCTGACAAAAAAAAAAAAGCCCAACAACCAGCATCAAAGCCCTAATAACACAGTTGAAAGAACATTTTCAGAGAAATAAACAAGTAACAGCATGCGCCTTAATTTCCCCAAATGTTTTAATCCCCCTTTTTCTCTGGTTGCAGGAATAAAAGCCTTCATCTGTTATAAGATGACTGCCAAATTTCTTCTAAAGGAATCCAGTGAAGGGCTAAGCAAGCAACAGAAGCATTTGATGCTAAAAGGAAAATAAATACTGGGAAAAATCTGCAACAGAGCACTGTCATCAGCCTAGAGCTGCCATCAAAAAAACACCTACTGTCTCCCATGTGAAATACACACGGGAGCGAAGTATACAGTGCAACAGCCAAGGAGCAGACAACACGTAACCTGTCTAGTTTTCTCATAGTAAAAGAGAATATGTAGAGATAGAGGTCTTATAAGGAGTCGCAGTTTCATCTCTCTAACCAGTTCTCATTAATCCAGCATTACCTTGCTGAGAAGAAATATTTCTTTTATGTAAAGATGACATACTTCTGCTATGCTGGGACTGGTGGAAAGGATAGGCTTTGCTTCTTTCAGGAGAGTAGCTTCTGCTGCTCACACTAGAGCCAGATCTGCTGTGCGGAGAATCCCTTCGGCTCACGGGCGATTCCCTGAAGAAAGGAGAGTCTCTCTTATGAGGGGATCGCTCTCTCATATAATGAGAGGGATGGAAGCTTTTTCTCCTGAAGCCATCTCTGACCTTCCTTTGAAGACAACAAAAAAAGTAGAAATTACTTTGTTACCCTTCTACGGTTTACCTGGTAAACTGTATTACCCAGGTAATACAGGGGCAATATTTTATGTCTGATAAATACAGTAAGTTGCAATGAATACAGAGCAAGCAGAAACAGTTGGGGAAAGATTTCATTCAATTACTTCATAGCTAGAAGCTAACTTTCATTCTCTTACTTTCTAATTCATCTAATATAGAAGAGAAAGAGACACTGGAGAAATTGAGACTCACATTTTATTTTCTTCAGATTCATTCCACTCTAGCTTACCTGGAAACAAAGTCCTATTAGCACAACAGGTGAAATGCATTCCCAAATATTGCTCACACTATTTCAATGTATTTTCATTTATTTTACCCTTATTTTTATGGGACTATCTTTCACAGACCTTACTCTGGGAAATATTATTGAGAGATTTCAGATCCATTTCAGATTTATATCCAGCAAGGACAAAGAAAACTGTAGAATATCTCACCTCATGCTTACGTACTCACTCAGAGCCAAACCCTGGATGAAAAATATTTATATTTATTTCTACTAAAATTCTGCCCATTCAATGCAAAATATTTATACCTAATGCTTCTGTAAAATACCACCAGCACATTCAGCATAATATGAAACTGATATGATTTCAATCTATAATGAAGTAAGCATCAAAAATTCTTACTGAATGTATCTATTTTTGCCCCAGATCGTAACCAAAATGTACTGGTTACCTGCTCATTATGTTTATATGTTATTTATGTAAATAAATATATATTTATGTAAAAAAATATATAATATACATGTAATAAAAAAATACCAAATTGAACTTCCTTCACTGAATCTTGAATTTAAACATGCAAGCAAACATTTACTGAATCTAGAGCTGTGACATTTGCTTCAGTCAGAAGGCATCTAGTGAAGAGAAACAAGTACCTCTCAGCTCCTCTGACAATCACAGTATTGCTAAATGACAATAAAGGCTTCCTATAATACAGAGGAAGCCAGAATGCACCTTTCTCAATGCTTTTCTCTCCCATTTCTAATTGTAGTCCACTATTTTAAATAGGAGAATGTCTCACAAAGACAAGTAAAGACCTGGTGGTCTCATTTAGCACAGTGCAGTTATAGCTAATTTTATGCTGGTGAAGAAAAGGAAAAAAGCCCTCTAGTGTACAATTCCTACAGTGTGTAACAGACACATATTTGTGGTGGCTAACAAAGGACTTCAGTGTGCCAAAGCTGTTTTGGACTACTGAAACAACACACTAGCACTGGGTAGCACTGAAGTAATAATGCAAGCCCTTAGGGCCACTTACACAAACATGTTTTATACAGTGCTGATTTACTTTTTGCATGGAAAGTACATCTACATGAGTGCCTCTGCATTGTAACACAAATCTCATGTGCAACACTGAAGTTATTCTACAACAGAAAAATGATTTGGAGGGTGGGGGCAGAAAAGGGGAAAGGATGCCTTCACCTAGCCTAGACAAATACAGACAGTTACTGAAGAATGAGCAGATCAATAGCTGTTAGCCACACTGTTTTTCAGTAAAACACCAGTGAAGCAAAGGGAGGTGTTACAGACAAATAATTATTTCATCATTAATAGATTACAGACCTTTCACAGGTATCTTATCTTAGAATATTTAACAGGTCTATATGCCAAAACCATATACCAAAACAAGAAAATGTTACAAAATAAAAGATTTCTATCTAACAGGTGTGCTAAAAAGCAATTTTCATTTCCTTTCTGAACTTTCTTTTCTTCTGTTTATTGGGATACATTCTTCCTTTGAATTCGGCCATCAAAAGAACCAAAGAATTAGTAAATTGTGTTCTAATAGTCCTCTAACAATGCATACAGTAAACATATACAGTATGTATATGTACTATATAGTTTGTATATGTACTGTATACTGCTTAGCTATACCTATAGAGTAGCCACAGCATAAATATTTACACCAGCAAATAAAACACCTCAGAATATACAAAAGTGTAATCTTCCTGCTCTCCTCAAAGGCCTAAGAGCAATGTGCCCACCTCTGGACACCACTCTCTAGGAAACGCATAGAGTAACTGGAGAATTTCCAATAGGAAATAACTGAAATAACACAGTTAATGAAGAAACACAAAGCCATTTGTCTTAAATTTAGGAGAAAGAAATTAAATTCAGAAGAGTTCTCAGTTCTGTGAGATTCAGCTGAAAATAGGAAGCGCAGCTTCATCTGCATTGAATGTAAGAACAGTTCAAGCAGCAATAGATCTAAACTGGAGAAAGAGGAAAAAATACATTATTAGTTCAGACTTCAGGAATATTGAAAACATTAGCTCAGCACTGACAAGTCTATACCAGCAAGTCTCCATAAACATTTGATCAATATGTTCTCTAATGAATGAATAAATAAATAAATATATATATATATATGCACTTATCAGTAACTATGTACAGCACACTTTCTAACGTCCTTCTAATTATCTATCTCAGAACTGGAAAAAAACTGGTACTTTATTGACTACACCATCATTTTCAATGATTTTAAATACACACAGACTGTAAGAAACCATTTCAGCTCTTAGAGGTGCAGTGCAAGACAAAGAGGAATTAATCTCAAACAGATGTAATTCAGTTAGGTGCACAACATTATAAAATGCTGCCTTCTGTCAACAGCTGGCCAACACAACTAAAATGTGTTTTTCTCAATGTTTAAATGAACTATATGAGAAAAAGCCTATTAGGTAAATTCTGAGATTTTAGATGTCATTTTTTTTTTGCATTTGAACATTTCTGTAACATACAGAAAGTCTTTGATTTTGTTCATTTTTAAAAGCATGAGCTTTCTGGCAGACTGGTACTCCACTTTTATGCCCAAAGCACATTTTTTATGAGCAAGACATTAAGTTCTAGTATATATGCAAGTTTATTATGGAAACGTTTACAGAGCCCTTGCTTTTGCATACATACACTCTGACATCCACATCAGAATTTACAAAATATCATTGAAGCATACTTTTAAAAGGGAAAATGTTTTAAAACCTCGTTCTACAGTAATATCATGCACAAAAAAAACCCAGACAAACAAACAGATTTTGTGTTTATTTATATTTTCATGTCATCATTCCTATGTTAATTCTTCACTGGACACAATCTCATACCTGAGCACGCAAGCTATTAACGATATTAAACCTGTTTTGGACAGAATAGCAGCAGCACAGCATTTGTGATGTTTACCATTAACGTGACAAACCACACTGATCAGAACAAAATAAGCATTGTTTTAGGGTTTTTTTCTTAAATACTTAAACTAACATACACCTGCAATTTGGTAATGAAGGCCCCAATTCAGCACAGCAGCTGAGAACATGCTTTGGATTCCAACACATACTCAAAAGGTTTATTGAGAAGGGACGATATTTAACAGAAATTAAAAATTTTTGCTCACTTCCAACTTCAAAACAGAACTGTTTAATAAATACAGGACTCATCCCTGTTATACAGGATTCCTCTTATCTCTATACCTCACACTGACATCTCACACGTAGCCCTGAAAGCACGGTAAGTTCTCTCAGCAGTACCGCAGTCAAAACTATTAACATTTTTAACACCTACAAACCGTGACTGTTCAATTCTCACTGAAGCTGATCCCCTTGGAAGAGCTGCTGAAGTGTTACAGACAAGCAGCCATACGCACCCATTCACCTGGAGCAGCTGAGGGAAGAGCGTGGCTCTGGCAGTTATTTCCGTTAATCGTCAGATCCAGCTTCCTGCCCTGGTAAAGATGCTCCTGTCTGTGTACCAGGAGACCAAGGCAACACAATGCAGAGGGGCCTTTCACTTCACCAACTTTGCTAGGCTACCACAAAGATTTTCTAGGCTCCTCTTTCCCAGCCAGCTCAAGTATTAATCAATGTGCAACGAAGCCCAGCCACAGAGGACATCTAACACTTGTGACACCGCTCCAGAAAAGACTGGAATCTCAACAGTGCATTGCTGTGGGGCAGAAACTCAATCTTTCAGTCACACAGGGGCCAATGTGGTCTATCACTTAGAAGTCAGATGAAAAGTCAACGTGGGCCATCTCATCTCATCAACAAAGATTATTGCTATTGTCAAAAGAGTTAGATGTTCCATTTATAGGCCTAAAAAAAAACAACAAAACCTCACATAATTTTATAAATAAATGGAGGAAATGATACACATCTCTTAAGATATGGGATTTCTGTGCAAAGAGATGAAGCAGACAAGACTTAAAACGTGCTAAACTACACACTTTTTCTGTTTCAAAATACACTGTGAGGAAAGGGACAGAGAAAGAAACAAGGAACATTCTGCCTTCCCTGTGAGGAGAACGCGGGGCTACGAGAGCCACCAACGCAATTCACCTGACATGGAAAACATTTAATGAATCTACTACACTACATCCCAAACCTCTAAATTTCTCAAAATTTGGCTCATGTCTACCATCTGAAAAGCAAACATGAGGAGTTAAGCACACCTCTACTTCTAACGTTCTCCAAGCAAATTTAGCTGGTAGAAGATTCCAGAGACCCTCCTCTCCCCCAGAACACATTCCCTTTCTTTCAAAGTATGCAGCACACATTTGTGGAGCAAACCCTTTACTTCAGCTCTGCTTCAGAGAGACTTATAATACCTTGGTTTTGTCCAAAGATCTTTATGATGATTTATCCCAGCATTAAACAATAAATTACACCATTGCAGATATACATAACTGCATCTTCAGCAAACTTCATTTGAAAATCTGAAATGTTTTCTGACAACTGGTTTCAAATGTTTTAGGGCCAAGAAAATAACTGCAGTCTTTGCAAATTCTATGTGTATTCACTTTAAATGAAATTTGCATAATTTGGTCTAGTCATTATAATCTCGTTAACAGCCTTTTGTACAAAAATGCAGAAGGAAACAGGGAGCCTCAATGAAAGGGACAGCTAGACATACAACACGCATACCAAAATTTAAAAATACAGAA